ACAGATATGTGATTAATTTCGTTCAGTTGTAACGTATTTGAGAATATCATACAGTACTCATGCCGCGATATTTTCATCTTCGGCCTCCAGCGGTACAGCGGTATGTCTACGGACTTACAACATTAGAAACCGAGTTTCGATACCCGTGGTGGGCAGAGCACAGATAGCCCATTGCTTAACTTCAAACAATCAATCAAGTTTCATCCTTGTGTTAAGGCAAATACGTCTTTAATGTACATTATATGCCAGCTGTTTAATAATGAGAAACATTATTTCTCGTGTAGTGATTGGTCAAGACGCTCTAATTACTCGTACTAATTGCAAATATCGTGTTTGCGTGATGAAATTAATGTCTACTTGACAGAAATCTGTTGATGTATAGTTTCAAGGCCGTATTTCAGAGCCAGCTGCGAGACGGCTACTGCTTGTCTTTTGTTTGCCACATGCCGCTTTATGGTCCTGCACGCGACGTTCAGGTTCGTTGGAACCATGTAACGACTGACGTCATTTGTTAGTGGCTAGTGACGCAGGAGTTGATTATGATTGGATTCAGTGATCGGTCTGGGTGATCAATTTCGGAAGAAACCTATTTTTGTTGCGTTTATTCCGAGATAGAGATGGTTGCTATAAATAGACCAACGTGTCAGACTGACTGCTTGAAATAGCCTAGTGGCAGCAAATAATGATGAACGGTGGTCAAAAATAGCCACTCTTGGCTGAACACTGCGTAAACACATGGTAAGTTGATTATGAAGATAGGGTATTTGATGGTTGTGAACAAACACGTAGCACGAGGGAACGTTGCCTTCAGAAAGTGTTTCTCTATTGCTTTTATTAGATGGTCAGAATATAAGTCAAATAATTATTTGTACCTTCACCAACGAGTTGGATTTAAATATGTTTATGAAACGTATAATTGCAGTCAGATCTGCATGTTTACAGTTATAATTGGATTTTCTATTGATAATACATTGATATTTTCCTTACAAATCATTACTGTTAAGCCTATAACTAAACAACTTTCTTTTTTTTTTTTTGGTCAATATTATTACACCTGTTGAATTTTTTCCCAGGAAATTGAATCACTGTAACATTAGATTAATTTTATTTTTATGATGGAAGACCTTCACATCAATTAGTTGATTAGTTGTAATTTCAGTAAGGAATTGCACCCCATTGTAATTATGTTAAAACAAGGGAAAATCAAAAGGTGTATGTTTCATAGAATTATCAGGCAGACTGTAGCGCCATCTATGTAGGGATGGCTTGGAATTGTTCATCAAAATTGTATTTTAAATATCTCCTCTGTAGGTCATCAGAACTTAACAATACTATACAGTGTTTCCTTTTATAACAATATCTATGTAATGACTGAGACACAAGTTCTGGGAATGTCTGTAATTATCTTCTGCTTCTATGTAATTACATGATAACTCAAAAACCAAAATAATGGTGTCAACCAAATTCAGTGAGGTGACATAGTTTCAAACGGAGTATCCACTTTTATAAGTATTATTAACTAGTAGTAATTAAATAAAAAAATCATAATTCTAATGTAAACGATGTTAACATCACCCCTTGAAGTTGGCTTTCTTACAGACATGATGTTCATTTAAAAAGCTTAAGTACAGGGTGACACAGGAATTACCAGCCAATAATAGACAAACGATAAAATTACAGTTGGAACCTCATTTTATGTAGAACTTGGTCATAAATACAACCATCCTATGTCTACTGAAACACTGCATTAAAAAAAAAACAAGTAAAAAACTTTTCAAAAAAAAGGAAGTATAAGTGAGGATGGTATTTGCATCACCCTTACATAAGAACACAGGCAATAATTAACATATTTGTGTGTTTAATTTATCCTATTTTTGTCTGTACAGGCAAGAATTAAAATATATATGTATATTAAAATGATTGATTGCAATTGAGTTTAATTTATCCTGTTTTTGTCTGTTAACATTTACTGTATTGTGTGCCTGTGCTATTATGTAGGGATGATGCAAATGCAGTCTTTACTATTTAGTTTACATTGTTTTTGTAAGATTGATATTAACCATCCCAACATTTACCTCCTTTTTTGAAATGTTTTTTTTCTTTACTTGAAAACAAGTTCAAGCCATTTTTAAATCTGTTTAAATGTAGGAAATATTTACATTACATTTGCTAGTTATTTTTTTTTGTAGTTTTAATATATTATAACCAACTATACAGATAGAATTAAATATTATTTGAGTACTTTTCCTTTTGGATAACTTTTAAAAATATATAAGTATAAAAAAACATATAAAATATGCATGTTCTTTATATAGTAAATGTCCATAATAAATTTTTCTAAATATATTAATAAGCATTGAATTTGTATAGTAAAAACTTACCATTTGTGGGGGTTTAATGGAACAGTACCATTATTTGAGCCCCCCAGTGGCACAGCAGTATGCTAGAAACCGGGTTTCGATATCCATGGTGGGCAGAGCACAGATAGCCCATTGTGTAGCTTTGTGCTTAACTTCAAACAACCATTATTTGAGCTTGTTTAGGTCATTTTAAATGATTACATGCTCTTTTTATATGTAAAGATAACAACATTGTAACTAGAATAAGTAAAGCATGCTTGTATTGATCAGTTGTTAAAACATTCCAGCTCAAACTGTAATTTGTTTTTGTAAAATGACTGTGTTAGTTGTTTAGCCAATAAAATACTTAAAGTTATTAATGCATTATATTACATACTTCCATGCAAGTAAAAAAAAAATGTTAAATTACATAAAAATATAGAACATATTCATTATATTTTTCATACAACTTTAGAAGTGGGCAGCTATTTTATACTTTTAAAAATAATGGTGATGCTGTTACTGTAATCTGAAGTAGTTTACAAATTCAGCTTACAAAATGAAATTAATTTTTACAACAGACAGAATCTTTTATAATATGTATCTGTCACGTTACTTTGTATGTGAAACTGAAGAATAAAAGCATATCACATCTAATTTTCCTGCTTGCCAAGTTTGGTGCAGTTACAGCTTTGTATGTTGTGTCTGATACCAAGTTGATTCAAGATATACTTATCAGCTTCCTTTGTTTTTCATTTTGTCTGATGGGTTCCTGGTTTTTGTTGGGGTTAATACAAAGGGAACCTGTAAAGGTTGCCCGTGTGTTAGTATTTGTGAACTTGTTAATCTGTGTACTCTATGATGAATACAAAAACTGACTGAGCAACAGATACTGAGGCAGACAGACTGATACAAAATGTTAAATGAAATTACTGATGGTAAACCAAGTCTCTAAATGGTGTTTTACGAACAGTAAAAGTAATTATGTACATTATCTCTTTTCAACTTTACAGTTTTGTTATTGTACATTTTTTGATTGAACTCTGGTTGGGCAGAGTAACAGTGCTATGTATAATCACATAATACTCCAGAAGTTCTGTAAATTAAATACCAGGTTGAGAAGTTTACAGGTATTGGCCCTTTTTTTTTTGCAAAATGTTTTTTATAACATTTTTAATGATTTTAAACTACTTATTAGTTTTTAAATATATTCTTTGGCTCAAGTGTGAATGCTTTATGGTGGAAAATGCAGAAGAGTAGGATGCAGCATAAAACTGATCAACCTTTTATTAACACTTTTGGTCCCGGAGAGGACTTGGTATAAATATTTGTTGCGGAATCTGATTTTTAAGACTGGCCTGTTAATTCGTTAGGTGTTAGTAACAGGTAAAGCTTTAACATGATAGTTTCAGATCATGTATGGACGTAATGTTTATATATTTTTGATCACAAGCTATTTCTAACCATTAAAGTATAATGTATCTGTTAAGATAAAGCACATGGCACTGTAAAATATGAGAGTATTAATGCATTTATATTTAGAAAGATATAGGGAATCTATGTGATCTATCTTAATGTATACACTTAGTACCATGTAAACATATTAGGCTGTTTCTGTAATATATATTCAGTTACTGTGTATATATTGATATATCTGATTGTTTGTTCAGGTGCCGGTCTAAAACTGAGAATGACTTGGTGTCTGTCAAGGAAATTAATGGTCATTGAGGATGCAGAAAACTTGTATCTTCAGTTATCTTCCATTTGCATTTTTATTACAATATTTTTAAAGTCAGTTGGTATATAGCTGTGTTGAAGAAAAAAGCTAGTTTTTCAGTAATCTCAGAATACATAATGCTAACATAAAATTTTTTTAATCTGTTTAGTCAATATCTTCTTAGGTTCGGCAACATTTCATATGGCCACAGTTGGCAGTGGTGTCAAATAACAAGACATATAACTGTGTCAGTAAAGGATTTAACAGTTGAAGTGTTTGTAATGAGTTAGGCTTTCAAAATTCCAGAAGCTGAGACATACACGTGCTATCATAACAAAGTGTTAACATGTGGTTAATGTTGTTGTTAAATGGTGATACAAATTTCATATGAAAATATAGTATCTTAATTTAAATAACAGATGTAGGTATTTAAATTATTATGGCATCAAACTTTGAATAAAACAATTAATTAATAACAGCATTCTAAGAAACTATGGTTAATGTAGTATGTACCCGTTATTATCTGTAAACTTGTAAAATTAATCTTGAAGTAATACTCATGAAACAAGTTCATGCTTTACTAGAGAGGGGATGTTATGAAACAATGTGTGTGTGTGTGAATAAATTAGTATTCTTTATCAGAAAATATGGTTCAAAAGTGGTAATAACATTACAGAGTAATAGGAAATTTTATGCACTTTTTTTTTTAAACAAGTTTACTGATTTTGCAAAAAGAAAGGGAGCTATGTTTGTAATAGCTTTAGGAAAAACAACATAAGCATGACCCCGTTTTGTGATGTGTACCATCCTTCATGATCTTAACAAAATGTGTAACTTGGGAAATCTTGGTATGTCACTCATATACAATGTAACACTTGTCAGTCAAATGTTGTATATATGTTCAAAATCTGTTTTTATTGAATATAACTTTTTCACATTTTTAGGAGTTTGAAGATCTAAATTCCAAACTGAATGAGTTTCAGCTCCAAGAACAGAAACTTTTAGATCAGCTTAGTAATGGAAGCAATGGAAGAGATTCTCCCGAGCAGTCAGATCCCGATTATGATGACAGCCGGACCTGTTCTGAAGTAACAACTCCAAGGACGACTCTTACTCCAAACAACAGCCAATTAAGTTTAAATAGTTAGTTTAATCTTATGTTTATTCACTGTTAGAAATACTTTTTGTATTGACTGTATCTCAGTAATTTAGCAGTAGCATTACATCCCAGAATGTACTGTACTTAATTCATACATTTTTTTATTATTTTGTAATATAACAGTACGAGTCTGAAGAAGATATTGTCTTATCTATTCAACCAGTAGTGACTAGTTAGATTATTCTTACATCAGATGTTTTTTCTATTTTCTGGGCCATAAAGAATGATAAAAGTTAGAGCAATAATTAGAAATATCAAGAAAAAGTGGTTTTTATACAACACTTTTTGGATGAGTCCATTGAATTTCTCAAGGGAGTGTTGCCACTGATTACGATGTGCGGGATATGTATGAAATGAGTTAACTGCAAGTCAACTGAAAGAAAAGAAACCAATTGACATTATACTCATTTTGTGTTTACCTGGGGTACATGGATATTCCCAATGTTAGTGGTTATTAACTTTTAAAGTGGAAAAAAAAAATGGTAATTATCATCTCTGCCACCAAAGGTGGACAGAAGTTATGTTTTCACATTTGTGTGTTTGTCAGTAAGATTTCTTAAAAACAACTGAATGGATATAGACAAAAGTTGATATACATTTGGACTATGACCCAACTTAGAAGAGATTAGTGTTTGGAGGGTCAAAGTCAGCAAAGGACACAAAAATCCCTTTCTGTTAACACTGATTTTTCACACTATTTTTGCATTATAACTCAGTCAAAAATGATAAGATTTTGATGAAACTTGGTGGACATATGTAGAATATATTTTCTCCTCGTCCTGCCAAAAATGGTCAGTGTCCATTGATAACAGACAAACGGACACATTTTCGTATTTTTTGAGAGCTGAATATGATCAGTGCTGCGTGGTGGAGGTATGAACTCTACCGAATGCCCTTCTAGTTTTTAAAAGAATTTGAGAGTTATATATTTTATACGTGAAAATTAAGAATTGATACAATGTTCATCAGTCACTTTAAAGTACTCTCTATATTTAATTTTGAAAACCATAAAATGAAATTATGTTTAACAAAAGTATGATTCCAGTTAACAAAAGTACATGTATTTTTCATCAACACATTTCAAAAGTAATAAAGTTGTGAAAAATAATTCTTATTCTTGTTTCAGCATGATGAAAAATTCAAACTGGTAAACTGAATACTCGGTAACCTTCATAACATGGGCATGTATGTATAATACCCAAGCTCTCATGAAATTGTGATTGTACTCACTTAGAAAAATATGTGCATTAAAAAAAATGTGTTTCGAGCCATTGGACAGATAGAATCATATGCTAGTTCATTAAATTTCTAATATTCTAAATATGTCATTAAATAACAAACTGTTCTATTTCATTATCATATGAAAGTTATGTTTCCAGTAGTGAGAGTTTGGATACAGTTTTTTGTGTTATGAGAAAGTTTAGGTGTATCAATTAATAATTATTAATCATTAGATTATTTTATTTTTAAAATCGAAACCTGAGATACAGGCTTGAAATTCACCAGTAGAGTGTGCTAACAAGCAATTATATTCACTGTTAATATGAGGTATTAAGATAGTTATATGGTGGTATTCATGCATGATATTCCAACACACTTGGGATCAGCAGAAAAAGTGTTAGCATCAGAAAAGAAACCCATTAAACTGATGAAGGAAAATCCACCTTTCCAAGGGTTTGTTTTCTTGTGATATTTATGTATATTCAGTGATAGTATAGTTAGCAGGAATATTTATTTGAAATCTCTTGTGAAGTAAAGCCTCTCGGTGCATTTCTTCATAATCATCTAGCTTTACATTTAATAAAACTACAGGATGAATTATTTGTTGAATAAGTCTCTCTGTTTCAGGTACTGTTTCAGATATAGCCAGGTTAACACCAAAATCTCCGTTGAGGGTTGTCAGAGCCTTTCTCCCTAATAAACAAAGGTCAACTGTAAGTTTTCAAAGTGATTGTTTGGTCATACTCATGGGTTTTTCATTTCTCTACATTACAAAAATTTTAGTAATTAACGAGAATGGTAGAACTAGAGGACACAAATGTAAATTTTGGCATGGTAGTACTTGTTTTCAGCTAAGACAGTTTTATTTTTCTGACATTGTGGGTTGCCTTCAGATGTGATGGATGCAGTAAATTTAAGGGAAGGCTTGATAATTATTTGAATGTTGATGGCTGGCTTTGAGTGTTTTATTTTAAAGTTTAGTTTAATGGATAGATGGCCAAGATGAACTAAAAAAAGTTTCCTATGTTGTCCTTAGATGATATGTAAATTAAATTAGTTTGAGTTTTAACTATGAACTGTATTGATTCTTCCAAATCATAAATTATTAAAAGAAAAAATTTTATATAAGGGCACGTTCATTATTTTTCTACTCCATATCAAAAAGTATACATAATAATGAAGTGGTGGTGTAAATGCTTTTGTAGGTCCAGGTCCGGCCAGGTCAGACTGTTCAGGAGGCTTTGTCAAAAGCCATGACAAGAAGACATCTTACTCCACACATGTGTGTAGTGTATAAAGGTAATCCAAGGTATGAACATTTTTAGTAAAGTTGATGCATTATTGCTAGATTTTATTAAGTGTTGGATACATTTTTGAACTTGAAATTTGCATATGTATAAGAAAATTTATAGAACACTGGATGAGAATAAAAGCAGAGAACAAAACTGATTGAAGCTTATTTATAATAGAAAAAGCCAGCTTTGAGGTGGTTAAAATTGCTATCTAATTGCATGAATTTAATTAATATATGTACGGGCAGTAATAAGGCTGAATATTCTTGATTTGTTGTAACATGTCTTTCATTTTATTAGTTCATAAGATGTGTATTCAAATTAACATTTTCATTTTTTCAGGTTAGTGGTAAAATTGGGACTATCTCAAGGAAATAGATATTTTTGCACTGTAGTAATGAAAATATCAGCAACAAGAATGGATTATTGTATTATATATACATATGTAAAATATAAAATGTTTAATATTGAATAATTGAGGTTGCTTATTTGCTGTTAATTGCTTTTTTTCAGAGTTCGAGTAGACTGGGATACAGATATAGCAACTTTAGAAGGAGAAGAAATTACTGTAGAAATTAGAGAGCGGTTTCCTATCACAACTAGTATTTCTCATAATTTTGTAAGTTTTTTATTAATTGTGTACAAGATTTGCACCTTAAAACCAAAAAAGCTGTATTTGTTTTTCTTTTCAGGTATCAAATGGGAGACCTGTTATAAAGGAAGTATTTCTTTAACCTGCATTTCTTTAAATATCTATTGATTGTAAACAGGTTAAAGTTTTTGTTTCATGGATGCCCCCCCCCAAAAAAAAACACGAATAACATTGAAATTAATTTTTTCAAGTGCATCAGTAAGTACCAAGGTATTGGGTTTAGAGTTAGCATTTGAAATATAAAAAATATGTTATAGCAAATTAGAATTATAAAACCAAAATCTGAAGTAACATGTACAACATCTTTTTTATACTCTTATACAGGTTAGGAAAACATTCTTCACATTAGCCTTTTGTGAATGTTGTCGTGGCATTCTGTTTCATGGGTTCCGCTGTCAGACCTGTGGGTACAGGTTCCACCAAAGGTGTGCAGCAGATGTTCCTACTCTTTGTCAACCTCTCCGAGTGGACAACAACATTTATAAACAGTAATTCTTGTTATTGTTTGCTTTCTGAGATTAAATACAGAATATTTAATTGATCTACTGCAGTTATAAGTTATGGTGATGGAGTTGTAATATTTAAATTTTTTTCACACATTATTCTAATATAGATTACCTTATTTTTGGTTTTAATAATTATGATCTTCAGGTATTTTAAGTCATGAGAGTGTGTTGTAACATTTGCATTTTTAGCCTCATCATAGCACGTCATTGAACAGCTCCGAGTTTTTTTTTTAAGTACAAACTTTTAGCTCGTAGCTCTATCATTTCTTGACGGATTTGAATTGCAGTTTTGGACTCTGGAGGTCAAGCCCTTTAAATTGATGTATTTGACTCAAGGTCTCATAGATTAATTTACTCTAATCCTGACTAAAAGAATTTCAATTTGAAGTTAGACCCTGATATATAATAAAATCGAATCGGGTATATGCGCACCGCATGCTTAGTATTTCTAGCACACTAAAGTATAGCTAATAAAAAGGAAAAAAAGGTATCGTAAATTGATTTATTTTAATCCTGCCTAAAAGAATTTCAAGTTCCACAGCTATCGAGGGTTTCTTCTTGTTTTCACATTATTTTGATATAGATTATTTTATGAATATTTTAGTAACAATTGATCTAATATTATAGATATTGAACATTAAAAGGTTGAAAAAGAAGGTCTTAATGTAATAACTAATTGTGAATTTGTCATTATTTATTGAAAAAACATAATAGAATGAAACTGATTTTGTTTATTATTATTTGTGTTATTTATTCTATATAATGATATTGTTTCCATTTTGGCACTAATACATAGTATTCCTTTTATTCAGGCTTCTAGCAATGAATGACTCTTGTAGTAACATGGTGCAGACAACAAATTTTACTTCTGGTTCATTCAATCCTTATGCCTCGAATTATGAGTATATACGACACCCAACGACAACTTCCCCACCTAGAAATGTGCCGCGGGTTCACCCACCCCCCTTATGTCAGAGAGAACGCTCTACTTCTGCTCCCAATGTTTGCTACAACACTGTCAATCATGATATGACCCTGGAGGTGAGGAAATAAAACTTTAATTCAATTCACAGACTGAAATTCATATATAAAAAAATAAATTTAGTTCTCTTGTGGTTCGGTTTCTTATTTAAAATTTTATGACTGTTTGAGTTGGTTCAGCGGAACTTGAAACTTACTCCTGGTACTTTGAAATTTTTATTTGCTTTACCTCTGATAATGTGTAACTGCTTTGAAGTTGTAGTTTGAATATTTCTCAGAATAAAACAAGCTCTGAAATGAATTTGTGTGCTTAGGCCCTGCACTTTGTTTTAAATTATGAATTAATATTATTGAAGTTCAATTAGAATATGCTGTGTACTCTTACATTTGGAACTTTAACAGTAAATTTTTATGTTTCCATAGTCATGTTAAATAATAAAAAAAATTACAAATTCACAAACTATTTTTGTATATATATTGATATCATTGGGTTCAAAACTTTACAATGCATTCATTCATCTTCTAAAACCACTTACTGGGCCATCAACATATAAATTGTTAAACTTATTGACAGTCTGGAAGTACTTGGATCTCCAAAGCTACTGATAATGAAATAAAACTTGATTTAACTATTGTGTTTATTTATACTTGTTTATCTCTTGAAAACATGTAGATACAAGAGTGCAAAGCAGTTATTGACTTAAAAAGTTATTAACCCTATGTGAACGGGTGGGGTCAAAGTGTGCATTCTATGACCTTTTACAGAGTGCCATTCAACTATTTGTATTATGTATTCGATCTCGGAGTTATAAACTGTTAATTACCTTACATTGTTATTTAGTGATAGTTCATGGTAAATACCAGATACATTATACAGGAATACTGCAAAAACTGTAGATATGCATTTTGGAGATGCTAGAGGTTATGCAAATGCAATATGCATACTGTATGGGGGACAAAAGTACTTTTATTCTTCATATGAACATTACCTTGTTCTCCGACTTGTGACATTATGAGTCAGACAGACTTTCTCAATTTGCAGACATATCTTGAATACAAATATTTTTGTAACATGTCTGATTTTTTATGCACAACAGACTTGTACATTTTACTAAAAGCATGTCACATTTTGTGTAAATACACTTGGAGCTATAGTCAAGATTCCAGTTTAACGGCCTGACCTATGCACATTTGGTCAACAGTGAAATTTGGTATTCGTCTTATACATGACTTCAAATGAGTAATTGATATCAGGATGAAATGAGTGAATAAAAACCCTATAACCCGAGTGCTTTTAAAAGGTGGACCTTTCTTCTTCAGGGGCAAACTGTCAAACCCTGAAGAAGAAAGGTCCATCTTTCAAAAGCGCTCAGGTTATAGGTTTTTTATTCATTTCTATCAAGCCTTCTTGAACCTACATGTTTTTGTAACATCAAAGATGAAATGTGTGTAATAACACTTTAATTTTATTACACAAATCATATTATATTTAGAAAGTGTGTTGTTAAATAGGATTGTCTTTTCTATAAATATTTATGAATATATTTTTATATTATATATTTTAATAACTCGTGTATTAAGTGGTCGAATTGAAGTTGTCTTTTTTCCCTTGATGTTGTGTGGAATACTAAACAACATTTTACCTTCTTTTAAACCTACGTCAGATGTAGAATTATTCATCAGACTGAACTTTACCTACACTTAATAATTAGTGCATTAATAACTAGAGATATTTTGTTATGTCTTTAAAATTTTTAGATATCATAGAAGTTATGTCAGTTTATAATACTATTTTTATTAAGGCAACTAATTTACTTCACAGGAGTTTGCTCTTAGGCTTCGATCACAGAATTCGTCGGTTGGTAAGTTTGGCATCAGATAATTTTTTTATTCTTTGTTTCAAATATTTTGAGAAGCAGAAGTTTTCAACTTTTCATTTTAAAGTGTAAAAAAAAGACTGTTTTATTATAAATATAGCATCTTTTTTTCCTCTTCTTAATATATTATTATATTTAGAAAATTATATTTAAAATGAAATGGGAAAGTGATTTGATGGAGCTCTTTTTGTGGGCAACTGTTTTTCTCTGATAATATTTTGGTATTGTAAGAAAGTGTTTGGCTTTCAGTTATAAGTTTTGTAGATTAGTAAATATAACTTTTAAATAGTGTTAGTAGTATAGATTATTATACTTTTTAAACTGAATGAGTAGTATTGTAGTTAACCATTCGTAAATGTTACTTTATACCAGTTTGAATATAATATAAACTATTATGTTATAGTTGTTGCATTTAAACTATTTATCTGTTATATATATTCATACTGATTTTTATTATCTTAGAATCAATTGAGTACTCATTCTTTTGTTAGTAAATCTTTGTTATTGATTGTATGGTAAAAGTAGATCCAGGATCTCTGGTTGCACCGTACCAACAGGGTTCTCCTTCTACTAATCATAGTCCTAGCTCCAGTCCAACTAGAACACAAAGTGCGCAGGGGTCCCCTACCAACATACATAAACCATGGAGACCTCGAGCAAGATCTGCCGATGAAAGTTCAAAAAAAGTAGTATGTGTCTCTCAAAGATTTTATTAGTGATATCAGACTAATTACCTAGGTATAGTTTTTTTTTTAAATTCCTAGAAAAACTAAATGTTCTTATGCTGGAATGTTTTATCCTCCTCACAGTTATTCATCCAATAAACAAATTTTTAGTTTCTTTTTTTTAAATTAAAGCTATTTTTGTTTATAAGTGGAATAATTTTATGAAAGTTACATTGATTTTATTTTATAAATATGACTCATCCATTGCATATCACTAAATTTAAATTCTGTATTTTATTAAATATTTATTGTGCTGGTACATTGGACAGAATTTCTCATATTTGTAGACAAAAGTTAAACAAAGGGTGGATAAATTTGAATAAGAATGTTACTGATGATCTCTGTAGAAGCTCTTATAATTACTAACTGAAGTTTGTGAAACTGTATTCACAGCAGCGAACAACTAGGGAGTCGATAGAAGACTGGGAAATCCCAGCTAATGAAATTCTTACTGGTCCAAGGATAGGTTCTGGGTCTTTCGGAACTGTATATAGGGGTCATTGGCATGGTAAGTGTCAAACTGTATGAAGAAACCTTATCAAATACCATATACCATGTGATATACTCTTAAAATTAGATTTTTAAGAGATATAATATTTTTAGATATTGAAAGTTCTAGTAATTGTTTTATTTTTACAGGCCCAGTAGCTTTAAAAAAGTTGAATGTTACCAATCCTACTCCAGCGCAACTTCAAGCCTTTAAAAACGAAGTTGCTGTCCTGAGGTAAGAAAATACCAATTATTTTCACCCATGAACATATGGAATTAGTAAAATGTTATTTTAAGAGGTCTATTTTTTTTTTTATAAAGATTGCAGAAAATGCTCAATTTCTTGTATTTGACTTATTTTTTAAAAAGATTGTATTTAATTCATAAAACATGAATGAAAATCTTCTAATTTTTGACAGAAATCCAACTTTTGTCAGTGTTCCGGGGTCATTTCTGAGATCAGTACAAACTGAGAAAATAGGGGAATTGGGGTGGGGTAGGCCTATCAGTTGTTGTAACACAGAAATTGTCTTTTGTTTAGTACCATTTTTTTGTGTCTTTTATAAAAAATGATTATCAATTTCTTGATCATAGGTGTAGCCTTGTTAGTCGTCATAGTCGCAATAATGCATAGGTCAGTAATAGAGTGGTTATATGTTAAAATAACAAAACATTCTCTAACCATAGTGTAATTGTTTTATTTTATTTTTTGAGTATCTAAATCTTGGAACTAAAACTGATGATTTCCATGAATGTGAAATTTTAATTTTTGCCAACAAAGTTGTTGACTATAGGTCTAATTTTTTTGTGCCCTTGATAGAAAATACACAGAAGCCTATATTACTCACAGAACTTTTATGCATAAAAATAAAACAAATACATAGCAATATATCAACACTTTTGTTCCTAGTGGTTGTTACTAGAGCCATGCTGTAGAGGGATCTGTGTGCACTATTATGTTTGTGAAGTGTTGTTCTAAATTGTTGTTAACTACTACAGTATTATTGCTTAATTTATCACTATTAATTGTTTATCTAGACTAATGATCATTGTTACGTTGTTACTGGGAGTGTTGCGATACATTGTTCAATACAATACGATTTACATATCTTCACAAAATTTGGCAAGCTTTCAGTAAACATTACAAGTATTTTTGGTAAAAATTAATGTTTTAATATATGGGGTCAAAGTAGTCACTGCTCCAAGTGTAAAGTAATTTTCATGTTAAGATTAAAAATACTTTTCTCCATCTAAAAATTAACACATTTCTTTTGTATAATCTCTAAAACCTCCAAATTAAATTTCCAACTTTTTTCGATAAATCTTCATATTCTATCTGCTATATTCAGTACCCTAATTTTATGTGAAGTTGGTCAGTTTGACCAGCCTTGTAACCACCATAAAAATACAAAATAAATCAAAATTCTTTTTTTTCTCTCTAGAATTACTTCAAATTATAGCAGGAAACTACATATATTACACTAAATAACTTAAAGCTCTTAATATTATACATCTGTTTCTAATTAAATTTTATTGTTTTGTTGCCCTTTGAAAAGCACTGTAAAGTGTGAAGTACTTAAACAAGACAATGCTAGTAATATAGATAATAAAGTACAGACAAGATTGTCAAACTTTGTAAAAAAACGTTGGTAAAACTTTTATTTCTAGATACTATTAGCCCTAATTGCTCAGTCACTAAATAGTGTATTGCAAAAGTTCAAGTAGCATCATACTTACTAAATATGGTATTTTGACTGAGGCACAGTTTTGGTCTGCAGTACCTAAAATATTTCTGTATGAAGTAGGGGTGGTTATAGAGGGGTAGATTAATCTTATTTGGCTTATTTTAGTGCATTTTGATTGAAACTTTGAACTACTGGTTTCATTCCATTTATATATGTTTAACTGTCTTGTACAAAGCCCAGGATAAATCACATTGGTAATAATATATTTCCATCAGACATTGAACTGTTGTAAACTTGTTCATGAGTTGATGTTTTATTGTAGTATTTTATCTAAAAGGAACAGTAAATATTATACCAGTAATTGATATAATATGGCTCTATGTGATTCAAAGTACTTCAAACAGCCTGTTGTGCAATGGAAATCTTAGTAATTGTAGTGATCACACCATCCTGGTCATTTTTATCCGTGATAAAATCCTATTCCAGTTAACTATTTGTTGACAATAATGTATAAATATATCTCTTTTAGAAAGTGAAAAAAATATAATGTAGTATAAGTGATAAAACTGATGGGAGAATTGTGTGAATTTTTTATTATTATTATTATTTAGGAAAACTCGTCATGTGAATATTCTCTTATTTATGGGTTGTGTCTCAAAACCTCATTTGACAATAGTTACCCAATGGTGTGAAGGTTCTAGTCTGTATAAACACCTTTACGTCCAGGAATCCAAGTTTGAAATGTTTGAACTTATCAACATTGCCAGGCAAACTGCTCAAGGAATGGAGTAAGTATTAACTTCTGACATATTTAGAATTTCTTAGAAACACTATTATTATATGTGCACAATTGATATATTTCCCATTGGAAATATATTCTTGAATTTTTCTATCTGGTAAAATTAATGTAGTTTAGTTAATATACCAGATATTTCAGTCGAAAATTCCTAAAACTAAACCCAACTGCCATAGGATTGATAAGACGTAATGTAATAGCTGCTCCTTGAACACTTTGGATTTTCTTTTATGGATTTGTCACACAATTAAGTTTCTTGGTCTAAAATATGACAAAATTGTTCTATTTTTTTCTGTTACCAAATTATTAACATTGAAACTAAATCAAAAGAAATGTTTTTATTTTATGGATTTGTCACACAATTAAGTTTCTTGGTCTAAAATATGACAAAATTGTTCTATTTTTTTCTGTTACCATAGGATAACTAATATAAATATATACTCTGTGAAGTTAAAATAAAACATTAATTCAATTTTAAAGTTTGTGGAATTATTGCTGTATTTATTTTGTACGTGAGAATTTTTTGACAGCGTACATTGCATAGGTTCCACATGCTTCAAGTTATGAAGTGAATAACATGACAGTCTCTTTACTAAGGCTTTCATCAGTTGTGTTGAAGGCCTCAACGCTGATGATTTGACCTTTAAAATATTCTTGTCAAAAAGGATTCTTCAAAATACGAGAACATGGTTGGTGCTATATCGGGGAATGATTTATTTAAAACAATTTTGGAACATCCGTGTTTGGTGGAGTAAGGTAGACATATTGCAATCCTTTCAATAATGATGATAATCTGTATTTTGTTTTTCTAGCTATCTTCACGCCAAAAACATCATTCATCGAGACCTCAAGTCAAATAGTATCCTTTTTTATATCCCTGACCTACTCCTAATTGTGTTTCTAGCACTATTCATATGTAGGAGAAATGTAAATATTACAAGACATTAGAATGATAATACATTTTATTCAAATTATTAACATTGAAACTAAATCAAAAGAAATGTTTGTGTTTTTTTCTAGTCTCTATTTATCATTATCTTTAGTATTATTTAAAACCTGCCATGATAAAAAATGTTACTCAATTTTTATGATTTTTCATAATTTAAAAACTAACCTAAAAGCAAATTTTCTAAAGATTCAGTATTATATAAATTAACGTCATATTCCTGTTGAATAAAAGTTTTTACAGTGGTTAGTTTTTCATAGCCAACATTTTGAAACAGCAGAAAGAAGTGTAAATTACCTTCTGTTTGACTGACTGACTTAAGTTTTATTTATGATGCATAAACACGTTACAATATTTAATAATTTTTTTTTTCAAAATATAAACCAGTGAGTGTGCAGAAATGTAGGCTACTACACTTTGTTATTTCAGATAATTCACTTAAATTAATTGTATCATCTCCATTAACAACATAAAGAACATGGGTTAAGGTTTTAAGAAGAACTGTTGCAGATATTAACCACATTCATAACAAAACACTTAATGTAGCAAGCTTTCGGTTACACTGCAGCAACCATGTAACTAAGAAACCTTTTGAAGCCTTGTGTCAACTAGTGGTTTTATATATATATAACTTGAATTGGAACTGTAATCAACGTTGTTAAGCCCGATGAAGTTTCTGCAACATAGTTGAAAGCATGCTGCTTTTTATGTGAAGAAAATGCTTATGTCAGTTGTTTTAATCATAATATTCTTTGAAGAACAATAGTCTAGGTCAGCGGTATTCACTACATGGCACACGGGCCAGTTGTGGCCTGCACTTGTCTGTGGCCAGGAAAAGAGAGTATAAAAAGAAAAAATAAATGATAAAGTAATTAATTAAATAAGAGAGAGAGAGAGAGAATGTAAGTAATGATCATAAATATTATAAAGATTATCATTTGTTGTCAAAAGTTAAAAATATTTACATGTTTTTATTGAAATTAGTGTGTTTATCTTTTATAATTTTTTTTTTATTTTACTTACCAAGATACCTTTCTGAAGAAATAAATATATTTTTTAAATTCTATTTGCAGCCCAATCAATTTTTCTAACATCCCAATTGGCCCTCACTATTTTTATAGTGAATACCACTGGTCTAGGGTTACTGATAAGGGGTGGAATTCCCCAAAATTAGTATATCTCGATGACATTTGGCGAATTGAATAATATAACAAGCTTCATATTCATCGTTTAGTGCTTTAAACAACCTTTCTGCTGAGAAATTCAGAAGAATAAATTAGTAGCATCAGTGTTACTTATTTTTCAAATTCAATATAAATATAGATTCATTGTGGTGAGCAGAAAACAGCTCAAAACACCAAGCTTTTATATTTCAAACTGCATTGTTTAATCAAACTACACTGTACCATGTATTATCAAAAATTATATTTAAAAACATTGTGAATTAAGCTGAAAAAGGAAAGCTATGGGACTTGTAGTAATTTATTATTTCCCTTGTCAATTCTAAAGGTATAAATGTTACCTTTGTATCAAGCCAGGGATGCTGTTACTCATTAACTCTGCTTTAGATATCTTTTTGCACGAAGACTGGACAGTGAAGATAGGAGATTTTGGTCTGGCTACTGTGAAAACTAGGTGGAGTGGGTCAGAACAATTCAATCAACCAACTGGATCAATACTGTGGATGGTGTGACCTTGATATTATTGCTAAAAATTTTACTACAAATTCATTCATTGATCTTTATGTACAAGGAAAAACAAGTCCACCACTAATTTATTGGAGAATCTTTTATAAACTATATCTAGTTGAAATTGTTCTATAAAGTTAAGATAATATTACCAGGGATTAATGATTATTTTTTTTTGTCAGGTTATGTTACTGACCATCCATTTCAAGAAGAAAAAAACAGTTCAGTTTATAAGTAACATATGAATTTTTTTAAACACCTTTTTGAAGTTTACCGTAGGTGGTTGTGATAAATCACACAAGTGCTAAAAACATCCTTGGTTAGGTTTTTATTTACCTTGTAAGATATGTTTTTTTCTATTAGTCCAGAAGTATTGAGCATAAGTTAGATAAGTGACAGATAACGTATCACTAAATGCCACCTAATTACTGGTTTCTTACACAAAAGTAAAATTACCATATTATTTTTTACAGGTAGTAAAAATGATATACAAATTTGTTGTATTTTTAAGTCTCCAATGATACCAGAAATACATTACTTACCTCATTAGTCATATTGAGGTGTGTTCAGCTATTTAGACAGTTAGGTTGTACATGATTTCATAAGAACTTATTTCGGTAGTTACTACTCAAAAAGGAAACATCAAGATATAAGCAGCTTTCTGCTGTATTGTAATCAGATCCTTACCTCATAGTATACTTAGGTTATGTTGTGCATGTGTACAGTAAATCCTTAACAGATATTTATAACTTCTAAGAACTAAAGAGTGAAAGTAAGATTGTATAACAATATGTCAGTCCCACTGTATCTGCCATAACCAGTGCCAATGAAGCCTTTCATCCAATACCAGGGCTCATCGGGCCAGTTTGGATATGAAATAGTTATGGTGTGAAATAGATTAAGTTGGTGAAATGTAATTTTTTATCAAATCGGTACGGGTCATTTACAAATTAGAGTTAGGGTAAAGATCAATAAGACAGTGTCAACAGGAGAATGCTACATTTGTAATTCTTAGAACTTAGTCTTATAATAAACCCATAATCAAGAAAAAATTTTTAAAAGATACTCAAGTAACTTTCACTTTAGAAAAGTCACTCTACCTTACTTCAATAATGAAAGTACTAGATTTTCATGTTTCAAGAAAAAGAGTAGTATATAATATATATTTCATATGTTTTTAGGCTCCAGAAGTTATCAGAATGAAAGATCCTCATCCTTATTCCTTTCAATCAGATGTCTATGCTTTTGGTGTTGTTTTGTACGAGTTGACCACAGGACAGTTACCATATGCACGTATTAACAATAAGGACCAGGTACAGTATTCTGTGTACTAAGAGATCCTCCTGCCTACGATATGTATGGGTTAGTATTTAATGTGTGTAGGCTGTGAAGCCAAGGACTCGTGGTTCATGCTCCACACTTTGGGGCAGTGGGTGTGTTATAAAAGTGACAGTCAAATCTTACTATTCAGATAGACAAGAGTAGCCCAAGAGTTGGTGATTGGTGTTGTAAGCTAACTGCCTTCCCTCTAGTCTGTCGATCAGCACAAAATTCAGGAATGACAAACAAACATCAGTTCATTTTAAGTTATATGAACAGTAGCATTACCTAACTTATATTGTAGTTGTTCAGGACTTTGCATTTATCCATAATTCATTTGCTGTGGGTGTGCTATAATAGTAAAATGTAAGAGTTGTTTTTTTGTTCCATATATTGGCCTGTGCTTCTTTAACAGATCAATATTTTGTTTTAGCCTTGCTGCTCAATAAAAATAATATTTTTCCACAAGAATAATTCCGCATGCAATATGAAGCCAAGGTTTATTTTATGTTTTCTAATCAGCAATAGTTTTTTAAAAAGAAATTTCATAAAATATACTGTTTTCTAAACTGCTTCTTTACTGAAATAAAATCTAGAAATTGTTAATAATTAGAAATATATAAAAAAAATTAAATTAGCAATAGTCATATTTTTTAGATAGCTCTTGTAAATTAGCATAGATTATAAATTTTAATTGCCTGTAACAAAAAACAAACAAACTACCATCAAATTCGATGACGAGGAACCCACTTTGAGACTAATAATGGTTGGAGACGGCTTGAATGGGTAATGAAGAAAAACTTTAATATAAGTTTTCCTTCATTACCCATTCAAACCGTCTCCAACCATTATTAAACTACCATCAATTTTTTTGAGATGGATGTGTATCCAAGTTGGTTTAGAGTTACCTAATATGAGAAACGTGTTGTTGATTATCTCTCAACTTCAGTGAACCCTCATTAGTCTGGATGTTGACAATCCTGATTTTTCATATAGGCAAATTTTCATAATCCAAAATTTAATCACCAGATTAGCCTGTATATTTGCATTCTGAACCCGAACATCTATTTGCTGTGGGTACTATTTGGTAATATGTACAAACAGTGGTCGATCACAACAGGAAACGAGGTGATAATTACTGACTACAAAACACTGCATCAACTAGTGAGTCCTGATTTAAAAATTTTTCTAAGAATGCCCTTAACTTGCATTGGGTACTGCTTCATGATGTTTTTTTCTGAGAACGATCTTCACAGTAGAGATGTATGTATAAACAGATATCAAAAGACCATCAGTGATTTATGTTGTAATCATGTCAAATCACAGTGGTGTTTGTTTGTACAAGGAAGAAAGTGCAAGCCATGATACTGTCAGTAGGCATTTCAGTTTAAAAAGAAATAATCTCATGGACAACTATGATGTTCTTTTCAGTAAGGTAAATAAACAAGGAAAAGACATGGAGCAAGTTCTGTATCTTTGGATATGTGTTGTTAACAAAATGCTCATTGACAAAGCTCATCAACTAGGACAACAACTTGGGGTAGCAGTGTTTTGAAGGATGCTTTGGAGTAAAGACAAAGTTGGAAGATGAAGCAGGAAGTACCAATTAAAATTCAGTTGCTGCAGGTAGAGCATGTCTACTAAAGGTTTCAACAAAATATGAATTGACAGACATCCATAATCTAGATGAGACTAGTTTATTCTATAGGTTGAGACCTAGTCATTCTTTGGCAAGTTAGTGAGTTCAGTGTAAAAAAAAAAAATGTTAAAAGTTGATTTGTGTGGCAGTGATAGTGAGAAGTTTGCAACTACTTGTGATAGCAGGATCCCAATAACCAAGATGTATGGGAAATTCTTTCAACCCTGCTGTCCATGCAAGATACAGGTGGAATAAGAAAGCCTGGGTGACATCAGGGCATTCTTGGAGTGGCTGAAAGATTTTAACTGAAGAATGCATTCAAAGAAGAGAAGAATCATTCTCCTTTTTACACTGCTGTCAACTACACCAAATCAAGAACTGTCTAATGTAACACTGTACCACATGCTACCAAACACCACATCAGTGATATAGCCTATGGATGCTTACTGCCACCATCAGCTGATTAAAAAGTATATAGAATGTGCTAAAAATATTTTATAATAACTGTAAATGTCCACGTTCAAGCATGTAAAGATTTTACCACAGCTTAGAGTGAAACTGTTGGGTCTATTGAGATGTCAGAAGTCATTAATGAAATTGCTTATGGAAATATCTTAATCTTGAGTAGCAATGATGCTATATCAGTTGATCAATGACTCGACATTGACTTCTCAAATCTAACTGGTGAGTAGTTGTCAGATGACATAATTTTTATCATGTCTCTTCAAGAGTCATTTTAAATAAAACAATCTGGCCTTGAAGATGGCGTCACGTGGTTCGAACAAAACTGTGATTTATGTGAAGATAATGACATAATGTGTTATTTGCTTGCAGCTGCTCAGAAGCTTCAAAAGAAAAAATCAGTTAAAAAGTAGACTATGATTACATCCTTTTTTGGAAAGGGATTTCCTGTATATTTGACCAATACCATGTATAATTTGTATTCTGTCAGTAAGTATCCACTTTGGTTTGAACAAAGTGATGAAGATAATGAATTGGCACTTTGATCATGCAGTTTGTATAAAATAGCTGAAAATTTTATTGTTTACCAGTTGCATTGAACCCTTACATTTATCGATTGATTATTTATAGCACTCATTATGTCCACTGTATTCAAAATGACTGATTCGATATTCTGGACGTCTCAATAATTTGGTTCATTAAAAATGTGTTCAGCTTAATAAGGTTATGAACTCCTGTAGATGATTATAAGATAGATTGAAATGTATAACTGTGATCATTTTTTTTTAGATCCTGTTCATGGTGGGGAATGGTTATCTGAGGCCTGATTTGAGTAATACTCGCTCTGACACACCTAAAGCCCTAATAAGACTAATTGAAGATAGTATAAAATTTGCAAGGGAAGAAAGACTTCTGTTTAGACAGGTGAGAACTTGCTTTTCATGGTATGTTTTGAAAGTTTTTTAAAAATCCAAACAAGTTACAGACACCACAACTCGCATCTCTTCTTTATCATAGAATGTGAGGTTGGGTGTTGGCAGTAATTCATGTCATAAACCTCACTTAAAAGCTTCAGTTGTGATCTAATGTGTTGTATTCTCCTCATTTTCTAGATTCTTGCTTCCTTGGAGTCCTTAGCTCGTTCACTTCCAAAGATTCATCGCAGTACGTCTGAACCAACTCTCAATCGCACCCACCTTCAGTCAGAAGATTTTACATACAACTGTGCCTCTCCAAAAACTCCAAGTCAATTTGGAGCTTTTCCTTTCTTCTGATTTATGAGTTCCATTTTGTGACTGAACTGTACATAAAAATTGGCACTATGTCAGAGGTGTCATTAGGAACTGACGCTTAAGTGACAAATAATTTAAGTTCTACTTACCACCCTAGTGGTCTTGGACATTGTAATGGCAGCTTATCGTGGTGTATTTAATTAATTTAAGGATGCCAAAAAAAAAAAAAGCTGAAGTGGTGTATTTATACATTATACTTTTCTTCCACTTGTAAAAATTCATTGTGACTTTGTGTTGGGCCTTTATTGTGGAATGAATAAAAAGATCTGGTCCTAAACTTCTTGGATTTTAAGATAGTTTTATCAGTGAGCTAACACAATGTCTACTTCTTTGTAAAATTTAGTTTATTTGATTTCCGAAATGCACACATTAAAAAAAAAGTTAGTCCTCATCCGATGAAAAGAAAGGGGCATGTTGTTTTTTCAAGTGTTTCATCGTCTGCTGAACTTTTTGACTATTATGTCTTGAAATACTAGCAAGCTTCTTTACAGTCTTGGCGAATGTTTTTGGAGATTCATCTGTAATAACTTCATTCGTAGTCTGCTGTGGCTTGTTACGAGCACGAAGGTTGTAACGTCGCTCCTACAGAAAATCCTGGTGTAGGTTATTTAAGAAAATATAGTATAAACATAAAAAATAAGCTTATATAGAAAGGTAAGTAAATTGTTTTAAATATGCAAATTAGCTGCAATGGCATTTTGAAGATAGCCCTTGTACAACAAAGGAATATGTATAAACTTGGTGTAATAAGTTGTGAAAAGCAAAAGTGCAGTGTTTTGTAACAGGTTTAGAATCCACTTATAAAGGTCAGTGGCCAAAGCCATTCACATTTAATCAGGCAATAGTACACAATATAATGAAAAAGGATCTTCATCTGGAAAACAACTTAAGTCACATACTTCAAGCAACTGGAGAATGAAATGGGTAATGCTATTCCATCGGAAGACTCACTGCTTATGGAATGGGATTGTTGAAACTTGTCCTAATATACTAAATGGATAATGGAAAGCATGTAAAGAGGATAGGTGTGCTTTGAACAAGATAGTCTTATGATGGAACCTTTTGCTATAGAAACTACAAACTGTTGTCAAGATGCACACAGTCATCAAACAGAGCTTACCAGACTAGCAAGGCTACAAGGTATTAAGTTAATATAGTACTTCAAAAGAATTAACTGATGAAAAGTATCTTCATATAACTAACATAAAAACACTTACAGTGACTCCTGTTTTTTCAGGTTTGTTTTTCACTTGAGCATCAGATGTCGCTCCTGAAAATACAAACAACTATATAACTTCTAATTAATTTCCAACAGAACTAAATTTCATGAATCTTGATTAAATTAATATCACTGATCTTTTTTTTTAGGTGTATTATACATCAGTCACTCAAATTATTAGTTGTAACAAGTGAATGGAATATAAAACAAAACGTTCACTTTTTCTTTTGAACTACATTTGTGGTTATTCTTTAGGTGATTTTGTTATTAATCATTTGTTCAGGCATTAGCTCCATGGGGTAATCCTTAACATTAAAGAAGAAAAATATAACTATCAATTTGAAATTTTCAAAAATACATCAACTTTTTTTATGTCTCCAAAAGTAATTTTAGATGAAAAATAAGAAAACCATAATTACAAATGAAGAAAAATGTTTAGAATATCTTAAAATCATATTTAAGTTAAAGGGATAAGTCAAACATTTATGAATCAAGTTTTTATAAATGGTATACAGGTCATACAATTTGAGTAGGTCCACTAACTATAGTGTAAAAACAAATAGCGAGGAGAGTCATTTCTGATTAAATCTGTCTGCTGTAATTCTTAATACAGTAGCAGTTGAAAGCCAGTTTGTTTTCACATCATACAGTTAGAACTTAATTTTCTGTGCTCCCCACATTGCTATTATTGTTATATGTGTATAAAAACTATTAAGGTGTTTTTTGCTATTTTAACTCTTCATATACAGGCTCGGTCATTTTGACTGACCTTGTAACCATGAAACTCTAAACATTTTGAATGTAGTAAGTGTATTCGATGACGAGGAACCCTCTTTGAGACTAATAATGGCTGGAGACGGCTTGAATGGGTAATGAAGAAAAACTTTAATATAACAGCAAATGTACAACGTTTCGACAAGGTTTTGTCATAAT